AATTATTATTATTATTATTATTAGTATTATTATTATTATTATTATTATTATTATTATTATTATTATTTTTTATGATTTGTTTTGTTTCGTGGATTGGCCATCATGGGTCCACATAATACATGCATCCTACCAGAGCTCAGACTAGATTATCGGGGTAGGTGCATGTTACTTTTTTCTAGGGAGAATCAGCATTTTAATGCTGATTACAGTTTTATCACCCAGGGTTGTTAGCTGTGGGGAATGAAATGAAATTATGATAAAAGATGAATGATGAAATTAACACATACAATACAACCATGCATGAGGCATGACTTGAACCCGTAATCTTCTGGTTCAAGTCTGCTATGACACTACTGCAGTAGTGATTTTATTTTATTATTATCATTATTATTATTATTATTATTATTGTTGTTGTTGTTGTTTTGTTGCAGTTGTTGTTGTTGTTTTAATATAATAAATGTCCTTTCCAATTTTTAAGTTTGACTGAGTGTGTGATGTTTTGTTTTAGGCTCATGTCTCCGAATAACTAATATGGATGACGTGGCAATAACCTTAGGTGCCTTTAATTCAGAGTTAGTGTCAGCAGACTTTTGGAAGACATACAGTCTAACTCCTGCTGGTGTGAGAGCTTTGGCTCGTTGTAGCAAATTGGAAGAAGTGGATCTCGGTTGGTGGTAAGGATTATTGTTCTCTTTGTCACTTGTAAAATAAAATCTAAATTCAGAAACACTCTCAAAATTATTTTCTATATTTTTGTATGATCAACAAGGTTCTTTTTCACATCTATTACTGTGCCATTAAAGGTCTTTAATATGACGGAGCTTGTGGAATTACCTGTTTTGCTGAAGCAGTCTGTGCAATTGCAATAACCTTGATTTCAGAAAACCAATACTCATGAAGTATACTATCTTTTGGGTTGTAGCATGCTAATTTCATCCAGGATTAACAATTTTCAAATAAATTCAATAATCAATTTCAAAAAATAGCTTAAAGTAATTTAATGCAAAGTAATTCTTATATTAAAATCTCCCATCTGGGAAGCATTTTGGAATGGTTTTTAACACTGAATCTGAGCAGATAACTTTGTTGTAGTATTATTGAGAGAATCTTTGAAAGAACAAGGATAGTATTTAGAAATATGCGTAACTCTGGATCAAAACCTGAATAGTAAATATTACAATAGTTTGAACTGTTCAGTTTGGGGATGTTTTGTTGTTTTCTGATTGGTTGTGGGATTATTATTAAAAGGTAAGATTAGAAATGATGTTAGAAAGATACTAAAGAAATTTGAGGAACAACAAAAAAGAGGAGGAAAACATTTGCAAATAACAAATACACAATATTACAATTATCTGTTAATTACAAAGCATTTTGCAATTACATTTGTTATGAAGGACATACTTCTTGTATCCAAGAAAGAGGCAATTACTTCTTGTATCAAAGTCTGGGTTAATTTTCAATGATATTATCTGACTTCTCATCTGTTTTTGTTAACATTGTATTAACTTTTTCTAGCCTTGGGTTTGGTCCACCAGGTGATAGCCTGCATGCTTTAGCAAGAGGATGCCCACGTTTAAAGAAACTTTTTTTTGCTGCTTTGAGAGGGGTAACAGATAGAGACCTGGAACCTTTCATTGAGCTTTGCCCTCTTCTGGAACAAGTGGATTTGTTAGGAGTAAGGAGTATTTCTCCAGATCTCTGTGAGAAGTAAGTGAATTCATGATGGTGTTAGAGGTTTAATATTCTTTGATGAAAACATGTTCACTAATTTTAGTTAACTCTTCTTAATTCTGTTTTTCAATTTGCCTGAATATTTTTGTGTTGAATATGTATTAAGAATGTATTAGGGATAAGATACATAAGCAGTTCACATTGAAGATAATTAGAAGAATTAAAATATTGGAAATTGCTCAAACATGTTGATTGAGAAGATACATGTTTGTATGATATTGTATTTTATATTATTGAATGCTGTCTAAAACATTTGTGGCTGTATTTTGTGAGACATTGCATTTGTATGTATTTAACGAAGAATAAGAGTTGACCTTTAAGATTGTAGTTATAGTCAGAACTAGGTAGGTGTATTACGTAATTTTTCTTTCGTATTATACACGTACATATTTCACATTCTTATTCTGTGGACTGTTAAAGTCTCAACAGTTTTTTCATTATGCAATATTCATTCACATTGAAACTTAAACATAAACATAAAACAGTGTAGCCATGTTATTCAGTGGAACCATTCACAACCATGAACTTGAACATAAACATAAACATGAGATGTAACAATGAAAGTTTGTAAGCTGCAAGCTTTCATGGTTACACCTTATCACTTGTACTTTCAGTTCATGTACATGTTTGCTTGTTCTAAGAACAACTCTCTTGGGTATCACAGCAAGATTCCAAACATAAGCATTTTCATTTGACAGCAGCTATTTCAGTGTGTAAGATCATAAATTGCCATTCATCATCTTCATCACTGAAGGACATGCCATGGAGTCATTTGTTGCACTCATGATATAAAACAAATTCAATCAAAATGATTATCCAAATATGATCATGTCCATTCGACTTCATGTTATTTGATTGTACCCCCACGGGGCAAACAAATCGCAACTCTTCAATTCAATGGTATATCCTGTTAGAAGCTGCAATTTAAATCCTCTTTTGCATGGGACAATCAGGGGAAGAACACTTCAGCAACATCCACATGACTTACAGAAGGCTCTCCAAGAAGAAAGAGAGTTGGCTGTACAAGAGATAATTGACATATTAATCAGGACAGGGTTATCATTGCTATTCATGGTAATATTGTTGGCCAGCCCATTATCGAAAGTTAAAGAGAGTTATTGAAGAAAACAATTGACGTGTACAACCATACTCGTAAATTTGTGCTGATTTAGTGCTATTTTTGTTGCAACAGTTTGCTGACAATTTTTGTGCTACCTTATCTGTTGTGGAATAATCTCTGAAATTAATACTAGTTCAAATACCACTACCATTTTTGGATGTTCTTAATTAAATTCTAAAGCACTTATATCTGTGAAATTTTCTCCATAAGTAGAAAATTGAGTTTAATTGTTTAATTTTTAATGATTTTTCTAAGTAGTAGGGCATATACTTTATTACATAAGATCTAATAAAAATAACATTTAAAAATATTTTAAGTGTCTAACAACAGTTTTAAAGTAAGAATCAACATTGAAAGTGGCAGATTCAATGGCAATGCGGAGGCAACCAACAAGAGTTCAGGCACCCAGCTAATAATAAGTGGTTAAGCACCCAGAAAAACATACACACTTATGAAGTGCTATATTATCCCCTGCCGAGAAACCTGGCAGTAATTCTCTTAGTATGCTGCCTTTCTCAGCCCCCTCCCTTGACGTTCAAAATTCCACATAAAATACACCACCTCCTTGTCTCTAGGATTTATTCTTTTTGTTAGTATCCTAGCTGCATGGGACACACTGGAGATGAACTGGCAGACTGAGCTGCAAAATTGACAAACTGGTGCCCGAGGATGATGTATCCTTTGTCTCTACATCATATGTCAAGGTGTTTGTTAAACATATCATCCTAAATTGATGGCAAGCTTTTTATTTAAGATACAGGGTTTTTTCTCTCTCTCCAAAACATTAGTAGTTTTACATAACTTTTTAGTAAAATCTTGCCATTTTCCAACAATTCCTAAACATTCCTAAAACATCCTAATTGCAAAAACAGCTCCAAATTTTTTCTAACCTTTTTCTGATTTTTGTGAGGATGAAGCACAATACTCTGGATTCTATGGCACATGTGCCATTTCCATTAAAACTTTTGAATTTAAAAAATGAAACATTTGTAATTTTTGTGAACAATTTGCAAGTTAATATTTGTGCTGGATGTGTATTTTATAATGGGCATTTATTGGGGGACACCTCCACGTGTCTCCCCTAACGGAACACCACCCCAGCCTGAACAAGCCTCCAAGCTCCGACTGATCACTCAATATGTGGTAGTATGTGTGGGATTTCAAAATTGGAAATATAGCCAGTTTGGAAATGGCCAGTTTCTTTGGGTACTGCTCCAACATCGGAAGATTTGCAGAAAATTACCGGTAAGAGTAGCCAGCCTCTACAATTTTCCTCCACAATTAAATCTAGCCATGAGTTTCCATTGTTTCTCCTATCAACACCAAGCGAATACCAGAGCATTACCCTAAAAGCAAGAGGCCACAACCTGTGCACCATCTTTTTTTCTCTTTTTATCCTATCCTTTCCCCTTATGTAGGCTTACACACACTACACTACACATAGTATGTCAGGAATTTATAACTTGTCCAGGCTGGAGTGGTGCCCTGCTAGTGGGAGGTACCTGGATGGGGAAAAAGCCCAAGAAACGAACTTGTAGGTTAGCACCAGTTCTCATCATCCAGCAGATGAAGAACACTGCCATCTCCCATGATAAAATTATGCACTACACTTACTGGATCAAACAATCAAAACTAAACTACTACAAAATAATCAAACAATCAACCCAGCTACATAAGTAGTGTCAAAAATCGCCACTGTCAGGAATTGAATCCTACGACCTATCAGACAGAGATCCTGCTGCAGCAACAAGTAATTTTAAAATAGTCATTTGGATGTTGCTGATTCCAAGTTTGTAAAGGGTTGGGTTGGTTAGTAGGTGAAGTTTACATTTGGAGATTTGAATGTTAAAAGGTGCATCTTGAATACCATTTTGTTGGATTTTATTCATGAATGGAAGAAACAATTTTGATCTCAGCAAATAATGAACTTAATTGCGTAAGGCACCCCTATATACTCTGATGTCTTCATCCTTGGCTTAGTTTTTATGTTTGTGAAGTATGTAATCTATTATTGTACTTCTTGTTCCTCAAATCCATGTAAATTTGAGAAGCCATTCCAAATTTTGAGCCATATTGCACACACACTTCTATCAGTATTTTACTATTGTCATTCATTGTTTCCTCATTGTACCTTCCAACCTCATCATTTTGGACATGCCTGTTATTTGGGACAAAAAACATCTATATTCCTTTTATTTTAAAATCTAGGTTTTAAATATTTTCATTGCCATGTCTAGCTGTTAATACAATTTTTATATTTTTTTGATACAATGATGGAAACTCCTCTGTTTGTTGTAATTTCTTTGTTTACCCCACTAAATATGTTAATGTAATCTTTAATTTCCTCTATCCCATGACCCTTCTTTTTTCTTTTTTTTTCTTTCTCCCTTTCCTGTTTCATTTCTTACAAGACAGCAATTTCAACATCACATGTCCACAGTTATTCTAAGACTTCTACACGTTTCAGATTAAGACCCCATACATTCCATGATCCTGTATTTCTTAAACCATTTCCATTCGCATTGTCGTTTCCTGGACATTCCGGTTACATTTTTTCTGGGTCATTTAGAAATGCAGCAATTTTAACAGAGATAGGGATGCTGAGCCTATGACTTAATCCCGAATCTGGATTTCTTCTTCGGAGTTACCTTTCCCTAGACAGGTTGGCTTCCATCCCTCCTTCAAAGAGTCCTGTCCAACCTTACACTAAGAAAAGGAAGTAAGGAATATATATATATATATATATATATATATATATATATAGGAAAGGGAGAGGAATGGGAAAATGCCCAAATGTCCTGTTAGGTTGCTAAGGGATACCTTTGTCTGGCTCCTCCGCCAGAACCGGCTAGGGAGACTCTACCAGTCGCTTTGCTGCTTCTGGCATAGCTCCTGATTTCATTGGCACATACAAGCCTCGCCACCTGCATGGACAGTGTTCTACAAGGTGGTATCTCCCTCACACTCACACAAAGGTATCATATATAGATTTCACAAACCACGCAATCTTTCTATGATGGAATAGTGGGAGCTATTCATGAAGCTGCCTTGGAGAAGTGGAAAGTGATAAAGGGAAAATAAGCAATATCTGGTGAAGTAGTCCTTTAGCAGAGAAATGAAATGCTTATACGAAACGGTTAAGTACCAATGATGATGTTGATGATGACAGAAAGATGTAGTCAAATAAGTAAGGAAACTAAAAAGTATAATTTAAAAGATAAGAATACTGCTTGGGAAAATAAATGTGAAGAAATTGACCAATGCATTGCAAATACCAAAGCAAAAGAGTCTTGGTAACTTATGAAAGACGTAAAAAGAAATGAGAAACAGTGTTCAGCAATACAACTTATAAGCCTACAGCCATGGAAAGAATATTATAAAGAATTGCTGAATGAAGACAGAAAGGAATTTATCGATAATCATGATATTAATAAGGAAAATAGAGTGAATGATGTGGAAGACATTACATTAAATGAAAGGACATTTAAAAATGGAAAGTCCCTGAGTCCTGGTGCAGTGTACATAGAGCTGTTAAAAAATAGTCCTAGTGTATTTCTCAAAATTCTCTGCCAACTGTTCAATAGATGTACGAAAGGAGAGATACAGTCATAGGACTTAGGGAATGTTACATCCAGACTTAGGTAAGGTAATGGCTGGTTGTATGGAGAAATACTGAAATTTCACCTTGAAAGAGATTTATAAACGTAGAAGAATAGAATGGATTTAGAGCTAAATGCTCATGTACTGACAATATTATTAGTATCAGACAAGTGACCAACAAACAACTTGCCCATAATTTAAAAACTCACTTGATATTCATAGATTTAAGAAAATCCTATGATACTGTTCCAATAAATAATCAGTGGATGGCCATAGAGATACAAGATGTTAAGATGTACTTTCTAACAGTTGTTAAAGATGTATACAGCAGAAATGTAAGTCAAATTAAAATTGGAAGAAACCTTTTCAAACCATTTCCTGTAAATAAAGGCTTACGGTAAGGGTGTTGCACAGCTCCTATTCTTTTTAAATTGTATTTAAATTAAGCTTTAAAAAACTAGAGGAGAAAATGTTGCAAACTGGATATAAAAACAGTCTATTTTATGATATATTCTCGTAATTATGCTGACAATCTAGTTATCTTCACTGAAGAGGAAGGTAATGTTTTGTATGTGCTACAAAAACTTCACAAAAAATACTCAAATTGGAGGGTTGAAATAAATTATAATAAAACAATGTTTGGTTTGGGTGTGTGTGGGGTGTTTTCTTTATTTTATTTTGGACAGTTGACACGATACAAATGTCTGCCCAGCACAATATGAGATCTATTGCTAGTAATTCTCATAGGCAAGCTGTCTTTATTGTGAATTTCAAAATCTGTTGTTGGGGTACACAATGCATTTTTCCCCTAAAAATTGTTTCCACAAAGAAAAAAAAAAGAAGAAGAGCACTTAAATCTAATTTTCTTTAAAATCTCAATGTAACGAGCTTAAGAGACAGCCATCTTAGTTGATTTCACCATGACATCTGATCTGATCTAGTGGATCTTATTGTCACAATAGTACTGAGTGCCTAAGTTTTAGAAAAATTAACAGTTACATCAAACAATTAACATCTGATTATTGTTGTACTGTAGCATTGTTCTTCAAATGTCTAAAACCATGTATTATGCATTCATAATTGTTTATGTAGTTTAACTCTAGTTTATCATATAATAAGTATTTACATAAATTAGAAATAAAACTCTTAATTTCACATTTGCTGATCACAGTCAGGACCTCCATTTGCACCTACAACTGACCAATACCAAGGTCAAAGGTGGCAGGCATGAGCACACCAAGCTAACAAATTGGATCTAGCTCTACATTTAAAGCAGAACTTAAGGAAATACAGCATGTCTACCAAGAAATCATGTTGCATTTCCACCTATCTAGATGTGATATGCAATTCTGTATTAATACCTTTTCAGGAATAGAATTAGTGAATTATAAGTAACTGATGTTAAAATGAATATGATTAATCAAGATTAAAAACCTGTAATTATTAATTTGATTACTTTTTACAGGATTTTGAAGAATTGCCAAAATCTGAAACTTCTTGATATTAGTTTCTGTGACCAAATTTTGAAGAGTCAGGTAGTTGTTTGGAAACATCAATATCCATCAGTTTGTATCAAGAGAAGCTTTCAAAATCCTGGAGATGATCTCGCATATCAAATGTGATAATCCAACATAAACTGTGATCCCATATATTTAAAGTTTGATTTATATTGTTAAAATTTTTGTCCTAAGCTATGAAAAATCAATAAAGTATATTATTTTCACATATTTCAATGTGTGTATCAATGTTTGAGTAATGCAAGAATTGGAAAAATGAAGTTTTCTCTGCCCTGGAAGAGGCAAAAGTAGTGGTATCATGGTATTAAAGCCATATTTTCTTTCACTCCATTCTTGGAAAACTGTTTCTCACAGAGTTCTTGTGTTTTGATGATAGACCTGAGGGAAACAAATCCACCACACCTTCAAAGAGCTCAGTCTAGTTCAAACTCATGAATACTGACAGACTATTTATATGTTTACTATTTAAACTTTGGCATCTACTTATTAAGGAATTATAGTAAAATAACTGAAAAACTGTTAGTCTATTTTATTACATCATAAATAATGAAAGAATGAATAATTATGCAATTGAAATTTTTCAATTTATTTAAATAATACAATTGATGATAATTGTTGATCCTTGATTATAGTATGTATTAATTCTTCTGTTTGGGCTAGAAAAAAATATCTTATTCTTACTGTTAGAGCCATATTTTTAACTTCAGGGGCCCTAAGGACGACCAAACTGATTAGTATGTTGTAGGACAGTGGTATCCTCAGGATATTTAAAAACAAAGCACATTATACAAATATTTTAATAATATCAACTGCACTAAAAACACAAGTAGCAACTCAAAATGGCTGCATCATCAGGTAGTCTGAAAGCATGCAGATATAACATTTAAAACTTTCTTTACTCATAAAATTTTAATACAAAATATGAGAATGCCATAAAAACACAAATGGTTTATAAGTATATTTAAAGCACAAGTCTTCCTTAAAATCATTTTTGAAAATTGCAAAAGTTAAAAATAACCTTATATTTATAATTGTCAGGAAATGTTAGTGTGGTCAAGAGACTGTGTGGTGTAACTGTAAAGCATTTGACAAGTTAATTCCAAGGGCCTCTCTTAGCAGCGAGAAGAAAAGTTGCTGATTGGGAAGACTTCTGCCGGCAATATAATATTGCATAGCCATTACAAATTATGCTAAAATGAATGTGCTGTCCTAGTACCACTGGTTTTTCAATCTCTGGGACTTTCTTAAGGCAATATTGAAATTGCTTTAGAGATCTTTGGTTTGGCGGCAAAATTATTATTATTATTATTATTATTATTATTATTATTATTATTATTATTATTATTATTATTATTTTAAATACCAAAAACTTAATGAAATAATAATTTTGAAATTCGTTTGGTTATTGTTTTTTTATGGATATTGCTTGTTCTGCAAGGAAGCAAGTCCCTTTTATGCAAAAAAATTCAAAATGGTCATACAGTTACTTAGAAGTCGCTGATATTTCAGTATTCAAAATTATGTTATCTCGAGGGTCGTGACGAACGCTGTAACCAAACTATCACTGGACGACTCGAGACGCTGGCCATACGCTGAGTAAACTAGTGCTGCAACAGCACATACTATCTCGAATTATTTGTAATTGCATTTTTTGCAGCACGTTATACAGACAAGCAAGGATAATTGAACATCCACAACTAAAGGTCATCCCATACATTTTCTTACGCGTTCGTAGGAAACTACGGCACAGTTACGTAACGTCCATCTAATGTGTATCTGTATGAATAGTGAACTTAAATCACTGGTCACTGGTCCCGTTTCACTTACAAGTAAGCATAAGAAGAGTCCGTTACAGTGAACCTGAACCTCAGCTACAGTGAACGTAGGAAATACAACGTCTTGAAAATCAATTTCCTCCTGGAAAAGGATATGTTGCCTCAGTGCCACAAATTCCAACACTAGGCAACTTGAAAAAAAAAATATCGTCGACCAAAGGTTATATTCGAAGAAGTGTCCCCTGAGGTAAAGGTAGTGGGCCCGGAATAAACACCTTACTGACGACCTTATTCCACCCAGTTTCACTGAGGAAACAAAGGCCGCGTCCTGCGTGTGCTGCAATTGGCGGCGGCGAAGCGCGATTGCTTGCTTCAGTTTCAATCTTGGTGTTATCATTCTGCGGGATAAAATTGAGTTCTGCGTGGGCGACAGGAAGCACGCGACTGTCACAGCCTGGCGATATCCGGCGTGCCGCGCGAAAAAGCGATGAGTTTCATTACCGTTTCGCCAACCTGGTACCGAACAGGACAGGATCTAGAGTGTTTGTTCCTGGTACGCTTGTCTCTAATGAGACTCTTCGTCCATTTTTCCTCTTCATCAGGTGGTCTGTTGATAAGTTGCGACTCCTTTCCCCCGTGCAGGGACGGAGATTGGGAGTCGGGGAGAGGGAAGTAACGGGTGATTTTTTGTTAAGGGGTTTTGGCGGTAGGGAATGGGGATGGGAATGGATTTAGGAGGGGAGTGGGATGGGATATAGGAGGGGTTGGGAAAAGGTCAGTGTTAGTCTTTGGTCCGTCGTGGGTCAGTATGTAGTCCGTAGTTTTATGTCGTTTTGTCGGTTCTTTTTATGTCCACCCTTTGGCCTAGGTAATGGGAGGGGGGAGTTGCAGGATATCGAGGGGGTGTTTTTTCCTTGTGTGTCGGGGAGGATTTCGGAGGATATGGTGGTGGGGTATGATTATGTTTCTAAACTGGGGATCGGTAATGAACTTTTGTATGGTTTGGACTGTGGAATTATAGAGGTAGGTAAGTATGTGGGGCATATTATGTAGGTCTCTTAGGTTATTGAAGCGGGTTAGCGGAGGGGGACGGAAGATAAGGCGGATGACTCTATTTTCGGCATCGGTGAGTTTTCTGTAATTAATTATTGACGTGTTAAACCATGTGGAATGGGGGTAGGACAGAGTTGGGCGGATGTAGGTGTTGTATGCTTAGATTCTCTTTCGGATGGGGATGGACGGGTTGGACAGGATAGGGTAAAGGGCGTTTGTAATGCGGTTGGTTTTGATTGTGGTGTTGAGGACGTGTTGGGACCAAAGGAGTCTGCGGGAGAGCGTAATGCCAAGGTATTTAACGTGGGGTTGCCAGGGGATAGGTGTTTGGTTTATTGTCAGAGGGGGTGGGTTTGATGGGTAGGTTTTATAGGAGAAGAGGATGGCTTGGGATTTTGGAAGGGTTGATGTTAATGGAATTTTGCGAGGCCCAGAGGTGGAAGAAGTCGAGGGATTTTTGGACGTTTCGTAGGGAGCGGGCGAGATTACGGAAGGAAGAAAGGAATGCCTGATCATCGGCATAGAGGAATTTCTCTACTCCGGGAGTGGTAGGGATGTCATTTATATACAGGGGGAAAAGGAGTGGGGAGAGCACGGCGCCCTGTGGGACGCCGGCTTGGATGGGGTGGTTGGGGGATTTTTTGGAACAGTATTGGACATAGAAGGATCTGAGGGTAAGGTAGCTTTGGAGTAGAGGGTGGATATGGTCAGGGATTTGGGGGCGGATTTTTGCTAGGAGGATTGGGTGGGATATAGTGTCGTAGGTTTGGGTGAGATCTGTAAGGATAGTGGGAATTTCTTTACGGTCTTGGAGGGGGGTGGCTATGGATAGGGTTAGGTTCAGTGTTTGGAGGGCCGCTGAGCGACCCTCACGGAAGCCGAATTGGGAATGGTCTAGGATTGGGTCAATGATAGGGGTTAGGCGGAGGAGAATCACTTTTTCAAATATTTTACTTAAGATCGAAAGGAGGCTTATGGGTCTGTAGTTGGTGGGGTGCCGATGATCTTTGCCGGGTTTAAGAATTATGGACACACGGGCTGTTTTCCAGATGGAGGGGAAGTAAGAAAGTTTGAAACAGGAGTTCAGGATGAGGGTGATGAGATGATGAAGGTGATGTACCGAAAGCATCTCGTTTGTTATTAGGCGAGTAAAAAGGCCTTCGGAGAGTGGGAAGGTGTTACAACAGTGCAACAGGCAATGAAGGATTCCGATAATGCATTACGATATGTAGACACAGAGGACAATGCTGAATCAAATATGGAGAGAGCACGAACTTTGGAGAAGGGCGGCGAAACACCACGCCAGAAAGACAGACTCGGGGGAATCCCAAACTTTCTGCACCGAACGAAAACTCGTGCCAACTTGGGTCATGTTTCCTTGTTTTGTAATACATTATTTGTGCTGTATCTACTTCAAAAATTGATATGAAATAAATTTAACTAATTAAAAAATGAAGAAGCTGATCGGTAGGCAGTGCGGTGGCCAGTGCTGGCTTGTCGTGACTGATTGAATGTGAATTTGTGTGGAATGAATTATGATTGAAGATGAATAGTGTCCAGTCCCTTTTAAATTTTAATGAAGTGAAGTGGGGAAAGTGAATTAAATCAGTGAAAAAAGACTGACTGCTCTTGCCACTTTATCTGTTGTCAAGGGCATGATAAATGAAATTAGAGACTTCAAAGAGTGATTAATTGGTATATTCGCGGACAAAAGAAAGAAGAATGGACTTCCATTACAAGCAGCACTACTGTTGATTTATCTGCATTAACCTCTCAACGGGAGTTTTACTGAAAGGTATCTCTAAGATCTCTTATGAGTATTCCAAAAATAATTTATTTCAATTATAAGTGTATATTTTATAATCTATATCTTAACTATTTTTCAAATGACATTTTTGTTGTTGCTTGTATTACTTTTGACGATTGACGTCCCTGTGTTTTAAGATTCTAGTCCTTGTGAATCCCCTGTGATTATGAGCAAGCGCCGCCACTGTTGGTGGCCGACTTACAGTCGCGTCCATCCGCTGCCTAAGTCAACTCGACACTGCCTCCATCGAATGCAAGGAACAGACAACGCAGTTGCCTTGAAACACACCGAAATGGCTCTCATTTGCCCAACCTCATTGGGACGGGATGTGGAGTACATATGTTCCTCGAAAGAACTCGCGATGTACCCGACAACTGGAAATACGAAATTATCGACCTTACGATTGCTAAAGGAATCGACTGTGCAGGCCCGCTTTCGATCTATCTGGTTTCCGATCATAGAGTGGTAACATTTGAGGTTTCGTCTTTCTCTGTGGCGTGCTGAACCAAATCCCTATAGAGTATTTGAGTCTTGAGTGTGCGTATGTTCGGATGTGCGGTTCCGTCCCTCACGGCTACACCACTTCCCGTGCCCCAATCGAGACGCATATTCGACGCCTCTCGGTCTCCTGATAGGGAACTGATCGGGTCCGGCCATAAGATTCATAGAAATTTCCAAAAACGTGTTTTTTCGTGTTTTTGGCGCTTCGATCTTAGTGATAATGCCAGGAATTATACCAACGCCTA